AACTGCCCAGGGACCCCGAAACTGCCCCATGGGGAGCCCAAAAATCACCAGGGGACCCCAAAACTGCCCCGGGGACCCCGAAACTGCCCCAGGACCCCAAAAATGGGGGGAGCCCAAAACTGCCCAGGGACCCCGAAACTGCCCCGGGGGAGCCCAAAACTGCCCCCGGGACCCCAAAACCGCACCAGGACCCCAAAACTGCCCCAGGGGGGACCTCAAAACTGCCCAGGGACCCCAAAACTGCCCTGGGGACCCCAAAACTGCACCAGGACCCCAAAACTGCCCAGGGACCCCAAAGCTGCCCGGGGGGACCCCAAAAATCACCAGGGGAGCCCAGAATCACCACAGGGACCCCAAAAATGGGGGGAGCCCAAAAAATCCCAGGGACCCCGAAACTGCCCCAGGGGGACCCCAAAACTGCCCCGGGACCCCAAAACCGCACCAGGACCCCAAAACTGCCCCAGGGGGGACCTCAAAACTGCCCAGGGACCCCAAAACTGCCCCGGGGACCCCAAAACTGCACCAGGACCCCAAAACTGCCCAGGGACCCCAAAGCTGCCCGGGGGGACCCCAAAAATCACCAGGGGAGCCCAGAATCACCACAGGGACCCCAAAAATGGGGGGAGCCCAAAAAATCACCACAGGGACCCCAAAAATCACCGGGGGGACCCAAAAATGGGGGCAGACCAAAACCACTGGGGGGACCCCAAAACTGCCCCTGGGGGACCCCAAAACCAGCGGGTGGAGCCCAAAAATCACCGGGGGAAGCCCCAAAAGCACCGCGGGTACCCCAAAAATTGGGGGGAACCCAAAATTGCCCCTCGGGGACCCCAAAATCGGCCCCAAAACCCCAAGGGAATCCCAAAAAACTGGGGGGGGAAATCCTAAAGTTGGGGGGACCCCAAAACTGGGAGGGAAATCCCAAACCTGGGGGGACCCCAAAACTCCCGGGGGGAGCCCAAAAATGGGGGGGACCCCAAAACCCCTGTGGGGACCCCAAAATTTCCAAGGGAACCCCAAAACCCCCGGGGGGACCCCAAAAATCACCGAGGGGGACCCCAAAACCCTGAGGGAATGAAAAAACTGGGGGAGACCCCAAAACTGGGAGGGAAATCCCAAACCTGGGGGGGACCCCAAAACTCCCAGGGGGACCCCAGAACCCCCGGGGGGACCCCAAAAATCACCGAGGGGGACCCCAAAACCCTGAGGGAATGAAAAAACTGGGGGAGACCCCAAAACTGGGAGGGAAATCCCAAACCTGGGGGGGACCCCAAAACTCCCAGGGGGACCCCAGAACCCCCGGGGGGACCCCAAAAATCCCGAGGGAATCCCAAAAACTGGGGGGGAGATCCTAAAATTGGGGGGACCCCAAAACTCCCGGGGGGATCCCAAAACCCCCTGGGGGGACCCCAAAAATGGGGGGACCCCAAAAATCACCTGGGGGAACCCAAAAATCACTGGGGGGACCCCAAAACCCTGAGGGAACCCCAAAGTTGGGGGGAATCCTAAAACGGGGGGGATCCCAAACCGGGGGGGGGGCCCCCAAAAATTGGGGGGACCCCAAAACTCCCGGGGGGATCCCAAAACCCCCTGGGGGGACCCCAAAAATGGGGGGACCCTAAAAATCACCTGGGGGAACCCAAAAATCACCGGGGGGACCCCAAAACCCTGAGGGAACCCCAAAGTTGGGGGGAATCCTAAAACGGGGGGGATCCCAAACCGGGGGGGGGGGACCCCAAAAATCCCCGGGGGGACCCCAAAATCGGCCCCAAAAATCCTGAGGGAATCCCAAAAACTGGGAGGGAAATCCCAATCCTGGGGGGGGACCCCACTGATCCCGGGGACCCCAGAACCTCCGGGGGGACCCCAAAAGTGGGGGGAACCCAAAAATGTCTGGGGGGACCCCAAAAATCCCCGGGGGGACCCCAAAATCGGCCCCAAAAATCCTGAGGGAATCCCAAAAACTGGGAGGGAAATCCCAATCCTGGGGGGGGACCCCACTGATCCCGGGGACCCCAGAACCTCCGGGGGGACCCCAAAAGTGGGGGGAACCCAAAAATGTCTGGGGGGACCCCAAAAATCCCCGGGGGGACCCCAAAATCCCGTGCCCCCCCCCAGGGAGCGGCTGTCGCTGTGCGGGCTCTGGAGAGCGATCGTGCTGCGGGACCGAGAGGGGATGAGGGACAGGGCGGCCGAGCTGGGCGTGCAGGGTGAGGAAAAACCCCAAAAATGAACCCTAAAAACCCGAAAATGGGACCCCGAAATAATCCTGAAATATCCCTCAGGGACAGGGCGGCCGAGCTGGGCGTGCAGGGTGAGGAAAAACCCAAACTGGGGGGGAGATCCTAAAATTGGGGGGGACCCCAAAACTGGGAGGGAAATCCCAAACTTGGGGGGACCCCAAAACTCCCGGGGGGATCCCAAAACCCCCTGGGGGGACCCCAAAAATGGGGGGACCCCAAAAATCACCTGGGGGAACCCAAAAATCACTGGGGGGACCCCAAAACCCTGAGGGAACCCCAAAGTTGGGGGGAATCCTAAAACGGGGGGGATCCCAAACCGGGGGGGGGGACCCCAAAAATCCCCGGGGGGACCCCAAAATCGGCCCCAAAAATCCCGAGGGAATCCCAAAAACTGGGAGGGAAATCCCAAACCTGGGGGGGGACCCCACTGATCCCGGGGACCCCAGAACCTCCGGGGGGACCCCAAAAGTGGGGGGAACCCAAAAATCTCTGGGGGACCCCAAAAGCCCCGGGGGGACCCCAAAATCCCGTGCCCCCCCCCAGGGAGCGGCTGTCGCTGTGCGGGCTCTGGAGAGCGATCGTGCTGCGGGACCGAGAGGGGATGAGGGACAGGGCGGCCGAGCTGGGCGTGCAGGGTGAGGAAAAACCCCAAAAATGAACCCTAAAAACCCGAAAATGGGACCCCGAAATAATCCTGAAATATCCCTCAGGGACAGGGCGGCCGAGCTGGGCGTGCAGGGTGAGGAAAAACCCCAAAAATAACCCAAAATGGGACCCAAAAATATCCCTGAGGGACAGGGCGGCTGAGCTGGGCGTGCAGGGTGAGGAAAAACCCAAAAACACCCAAAAAACACCGAAAATGGGACCCCAAAATAATCCCGAAATCTCCCTGAGGGACAGGGCGGCCGAGCTGGGCGTGCAGGGTGAGGAAAAACCCCAAAAATGAACCCTAAAAACCCGAAAATGGGACCCCGAAATAGCCCTGAGGGACAGGGCGGCCGAGCTGGGCGTGCAGGGTGAGGAAAAACCCAAAATAACCCAAAAAATATCCCAAAAATAAACCCCAAAATAGCCCTGAGGGACAGGGCAGCAGAGCGGGGCGTGCAGGGTGAGGAAAAACCCCAAAACACCCCAAAAACCCCAAAAATGAACCCTAAAAACCCAATAATGGGACCCCAAAATAACCCTGAGAGAGAGGGCAGCAGAGCTGGGCATGCAGGGTGAGGAAAAACCCCAAAAATGAACCCTAAAAACCCGAAAATCGGACCCCGAAATAGCCAGACCCCAAAAATGGGGGGAGGGGACCCCAAAATGGGGGTGGGGAACCCAAAATGGGACCCCAAAAATGGGGGGAGGGACCCCAAAATGAGACCCCAAAAATGGGGGGAGGGGACCCCAAAATGGGGGTGGGGAACCCAAAATGGGACCCCAAAAATGGGGGGAGGGACCCCAAAATGTGACGCCAAAAGTGGGAGGAGGGGACCCCAAAAGTGGGGGAGGGGGGACCCCAAAATTGGGGTGGGGACCCCAAAATAGGGGGAGGGGTTACCTGGGAGGTACCTGAGAGATTGGGGGGTACTGGGGGGGGCACCTGGGCACACCTGGGCACACCTGGGGGGCACCTGGGGATACCTGGGCACACCTGGGGATACCTGGGGGCACCTGGGGTCATTTGGGGTCACCTGGGGGTTACCTGGGGTCATTCAGGGTCTCCTGGGGGTTACCTGGCATTACCTGGGGGTTACCTGAGGGTCACCTGCTGGTCACCTGAGGGCACCTGGGATCACTCTGGGGACACCTGGGGTTACCTGGGGGCTTCCTGGGATCACCTGAGATCACCTGGGGCTTACCTGTCCGCTACGTGCCCCCAGACTGGCTGCTGTTCTCGGAGGTGCTGCTGCACCTGGGGGCACCTGGGATCACCTGGGGGCACCTGGGGTTACCTGAGGGTTACCTGGGGTTACCTGAGGGTTACCTGGGATCACCTGGGGGCACCTGGGATCACCTGGGGTTACCTGAGGGTTACCTGGGATCACCTGGGGTTCACATGGGGACACCTGAGGACACCTGGGGTTACCTTGGGTTAGCTGAGCGTACCTGGGATCACATGGAGTTTACCTGGGGGTACCTGGGGGACACCTGGGAATCACCTGAGGGTCACCTGAGAGTTACCTGGGATCACCTGGAGTTACCTGGGGGTCACCTGAGGTTACCTGAGGGTCACCTGTCCGCTACCTGCCCCCAGACTGGCTGCTGCTCTCGGAGATGCTGCTGCACCTGGGGGCACCTGGGGTCACCTGGGGTCACCTGGGGTTACCTGAGGGTTACCTGGGATCACCTGGGGTTCACATGGGGACACCTGAGGACACCTGGGGTTACCTTGGGTTAGCTGAGCGTACCTGGGATCACATGGAGTTTACCTGGGGGTACCTGGGGGACACCTGGGAATCACCTGAGGGTCACCTGAGTTACCTGGGATCACCTGGAGTTACCTGGGGGTCACCTGAGGTTACCTGAGGGTCACCTGTCCGCTACCTGCCCCCAGACTGGCTGCTGCTCTCGGAGATGCCGCTGCACCTGGGGTCACCTGGGGTCACCTGGGGTTACCTGAGGGTTACCTGGGATCACTTGGGGGTTACCTGGGGTTATTTGAGGTCTCCTGGGGGTTACCTGGGGGTCACCTGGAGGTACCTGGGATTACCTGGGGGTTACCTGGGGTCACCTGGGGGCACCTGGGGTTACCTGGGGGACACCTGGGGTCACCTGAGGGTTACCTGAGGGTTACCTGGTGCTCACCTGTGCATTCCCCATCCCACACTGGCTGCTGTTCTCGGAGATGCTGCTGCACCTGGGGGCACCTGGGGGCACCTGGGGTTACCTGAGGGTTACCTGGGGTCACCTGGGGTTACCTGAGGGTTACCTGAGGGTTACCTGGGGGTACCTGAGGGTTACCTGGGGGTCACCTGAGGGTCACCTGAGGGTTACCTGGGGTTACCTGGGGGTTACCTGGGGGTCACCTGAGGGTACCTGGTGCTCACCTGTGCGTTGCCCATCCCAGACTGGCTGCTGTTCTCGGAGATGCTGCTGCAGCGCCCCCTGAGCCGCCGCTCGCGCCTGCTGGCCGCCCCCGGCGCTCACCTGGAGGAGCCGCTGGCCGGGGCGCACCTGCGGGGCGCACCTGAGGGGCACCTGAGCGCGGCCGAGCGCGGCTACATGCAGAGCATGGCGGCGCGGCGCTTCCCGCAGGTGCTGCAGGTGCTGCGCGCGCTGCCCCGCCCCATGCTGCTGGTGTTCCGCAACATCAACACGGTCAGGAGTGTCCACGGGGCGCTGGGCGCACCTGCGGACAGGTACGGCATCATGGCCCGCAGGTGAGACACCTCTGAGAGGGACAGGTGTGTCACTGAGCGTGTGAGTGACAGGTGTGTGACAGGTGTGTGACAGGTGTGCCCAGGTGTGTCTGTGGGTGTGCCCAGGTGTGCCCAGATGTGCCCAGGTGTGCCCAGGTGTGTCTGTGTGTCCAGGTGTGCCTGTGGGTGTGCCCAGGTGTGCCCAGGTGTGTCTGTGTGACCAGGTGAGCTCAGGTGAGCTCTGGGGGGGTGTGGGGGCAGCCAGGGGAGCTCCAAGTGAGCTCAGGTGAGCCCTGGGTCACCCAGGTGCACCCAGGTGAGCTCAGGTGGGCTCAGGTGTGCTCAGGTGGGCTCAGGTGAGCTCAGGTGAGCTCGGGGGGTGCTGGGGCACTCAGGTGCTCCCAGGTGCTCTCAGGTGAGCTCGGGGGGTGCTGGGGCGCTCAGGTGCTCCCAGGTGAGCTCAGGTGCTCCCAGGTGAGCTCAGGTGAGCTCAGGTGCTCCCAGGTGAGCTCAGGTGAGCTCGGGGGGTGCTGGGGCACTCAGGTGAGCTCTGGGGGGGGGTGCTGTCTCACCGGGGTGCTCCCAGGTGAGCCCCAGGTGAGCTCAGGTGAGCCCCAGGTGAGCCCAGGTGCTCCCAGCTGAGCTCAGGTGGGCTCCAGATGAGCTCAGGGGGGCTCAGGTGAGCCCCAGGTGAGCCCAGGTGGGCTCAGGTGTGCTCAGGTGAGCTCTGGGGGGGGGTGCTGGGACACTCAGGTGCTCTCAGGTGAGCTCAGGTGCTCCCAGGTGAGCTCAGGTGAGCTCGGGGGGTGCTGGGGCACTCAGGTGAGCTCGGGGGGGGCTGGGGCACTCAGGTGAGCTCCAGGTGAGCTCGGGGGGGTGCTGGGGCACTCAGGTGAGCTCAGGTGAGCTCGGGGGGTGCTGGGGCGCTCAGGTGCTCCCAGGTGAGCTCAGGTGCTCCCAGGTGAGCTCAGGTGAGCTCGGGGGGTGCTGGGGCGCTCAGGTGCTCCCAGGTGAGCTCAGGTGCTCCCAGGTGAGCTCAGGTGAGCTCGGGGGGTGCTGGGGCGCTCAGGTGCTCCCAGGTGAGCTCAGGTGCTCCCAGGTGAGCTCAGGTGAGCTCGGGGGGTGCTGGGGCGCTCAGGTGCTCCCAGGTGAGCTCAGGTGCTCCCAGGTGAGCTCAGGTGAGCTCGGGGGGTGCTGGGGCGCTCAGGTGCTCCCAGGTGAGCTCAGGTGCTCCCAGGTGAGCTCAGGTGAGCTCGGGGGGTGCTGGGGCGCTCAGGTGCTCCCAGGTGAGCTCAGGTGCTCCCAGGTGAGCTCAGGTGAGCTCGGGGGGTGCTGGGGCGCTCAGGTGCTCCCAGGTGAGCTCAGGTGCTCCCAGGTGAGCTCAGGTGAGCTCGGGGGGTGCTGGGGCGCTCAGGTGCTCCCAGGTGAGCTCAGGTGCTCCCAGGTGAGCTCAGGTGAGCTCGGGGGGTGCTGGGGCGCTCAGGTGCTCCCAGGTGAGCTCAGGTGCTCCCAGGTGAGCTCAGGTGAGCTCGGGGGGTGCTGGGGCGCTCAGGTGCTCCCAGGTGAGCTCAGGTGCTCCCAGGTGAGCTCAGGTGAGCTCGGGGGGTGCTGGGGCGCTCAGGTGCTCCCAGGTGAGCTCAGGTGCTCCCAGGTGAGCTCAGGTGAGCTCGGGGGGTGCTGGGGCGCTCAGGTGCTCCCAGGTGAGCTCAGGTGCTCCCAGGTGAGCTCAGGTGAGCTCGGGGGGTGCTGGGGCGCTCAGGTGCTCCCAGGTGAGCTCAGGTGCTCCCAGGTGAGCTCAGGTGAGCTCGGGGGGTGCTGGGGCGCTCAGGTGCTCCCAGGTGAGCTCAGGTGCTCCCAGGTGAGCTCAGGTGAGCTCGGGGGGTGCTGGGGCGCTCAGGTGCTCCCAGGTGAGCTCAGGTGCTCCCAGGTGAGCTCAGGTGAGCTCGGGGGGTGCTGGGGCGCTCAGGTGCTCCCAGGTGAGCTCAGGTGCTCCCAGGTGAGCTCAGGTGAGCTCGGGGGGTGCTGGGGCGCTCAGGTGCTCCCAGGTGAGCTCAGGTGCTCCCAGGTGAGCTCAGGTGAGCTCGGGGGGTGCTGGGGCGCTCAGGTGCTCCCAGGTGAGCTCAGGTGCTCCCAGGTGAGCTCAGGTGAGCTCGGGGGGTGCTGGGGCGCTCAGGTGCTCCCAGGTGAGCTCAGGTGCTCCCAGGTGAGCTCAGGTGAGCTCGGGGGGTGCTGGGGCGCTCAGGTGCTCCCAGGTGAGCTCAGGTGCTCCCAGGTGAGCTCAGGTGAGCTCGGGGGGTGCTGGGGCGCTCAGGTGCTCCCAGGTGAGCTCAGGTGCTCCCAGGTGAGCTCAGGTGAGCTCGGGGGGTGCTGGGGCGCTCAGGTGCTCCCAGGTGAGCTCAGGTGCTCCCAGGTGAGCTCAGGTGAGCTCGGGGGGTGCTGGGGCGCTCAGGTGCTCCCAGGTGAGCTCAGGTGCTCCCAGGTGAGCTCAGGTGAGCTCGGGGGGTGCTGGGGCGCTCAGGTGCTCCCAGGTGAGCTCAGGTGCTCCCAGGTGAGCTCAGGTGAGCTCGGGGGGTGCTGGGGCGCTCAGGTGCTCCCAGGTGAGCTCAGGTGCTCCCAGGTGAGCTCAGGTGAGCTCGGGGGGTGCTGGGGCGCTCAGGTGCTCCCAGGTGAGCTCAGGTGCTCCCAGGTGAGCTCAGGTGAGCTCGGGGGGTGCTGGGGCGCTCAGGTGCTCCCAGGTGAGCTCAGGTGCTCCCAGGTGAGCTCAGGTGAGCTCGGGGGGTGAGGTGTGCCAGGTGTGACAGGTGTGCCCAGGTGTGTCTGTGAGTGTCTGTGTGTGAGCCCAGGTGTGCCCAGGTGTGTCTGTGGGTGTGCCCAGGTGTGTCTGTGAGTGTGCCCAGGTGTGCACAGGTGTGTGTGTGTCCAGGTGTGCCCAGGTGAGCTCCAGGTGAGCTCTGGGTACCCCTGGGGAGCATGAGAGGGTGTGGGGGCACCCAGGGGAGCTCCAAGTGAGCTCAGGTGAGCCCTGGGTCACCCAGGTGCTCCCAGGTGAGCTCTGGGGGGTGCTGGCTCACTCAGGTGGGCTCAGGTGAGCCCCAGGTGAGCCCCAGGTGGGCTCAGGTGAGCCCCAGGTGAGCCCAGGTGCTCCCAGCTGAGCTCAGGTGGGCTCCAGATGAGCTCAGGGGGGCTCAGGTGAGCCCCAGGTGAGCCCAGGTGGGCTCAGGTGTGCTCAGGTGAGCTCTGGGGGGGGGTGCTGGCCCCAGGTGGGCTCAGGTGAGCCCCAGGTGAGCCCAGGTGCTCCCAGCTGAGCTCAGGTGGGCTCCAGATGAGCTCAGGGGGGCTCAGGTGAGCCCCAGGTGAGCCCAGGTGGGCTCAGGTGTGCTCAGGTGAGCTCTGGGGGGGGGTGCTGGGACACTCAGGTGCTCTCAGGTGAGCTCAGGTGAGCTCGGGGGGTGCTGGGGCACTCAGGTGCTCCCAGGTGAGCTCGGGGGGTGCTGGGGCGCTCAGGTGCTCCCAGGTGAGCTCAGGTGCTCCCAGGTGAGCTCAGGTGAGCTCAGGTGCTCCCAGGTGAGCTCAGGTGAGCTCGGGGGGTGCTGGGGCACTCAGGTGAGCTCGGGGGGGGCTGGGGCACTCAGGTGAGCTCCAGGTGAGCTCGGGGGGGTGCTGGGGCACTCAGGTGAGCTCAGGTGAGCTCGGGGGGTGCTGGGGCGCTCAGGTGCTCCCAGGTGAGCTCAGGTGCTCCCAGGTGAGCTCAGGTGAGCTCAGGTGCTCCCAGGTGAGCTCAGGTGAGCTCAGGTGCTCCCAGGTGAGCTGTCGGAACAATGAAAATACACCGAAAATACCCCAAAATCCGGGTCAGAACAACGAAAATACACTGAAAACACCTGAAAAATCAGCTGGGAACACCCAAAATACCCCGAAATCCGGGTGAGAACACTGAAAATACCCCAAAATCCAGGTCAGAACAACCAAAACACCCCAAACACGGGTCGGGACAGCGGGAATGCACCGGAAACACCTGAACCATCGGCTGGGAACGCCCAAAACACCCCGAATCCGGGTGGGAACAACGAAAATACACCAAAAATACCCCGAAATCCGGGTCAGAGCAGCTGAAAATACATGGAAAACACCTGAACAATCGGCTGGGAACGCCCAAAACACCCCGAAATCCGGGTGAGAACAATGAAAATACACCGAAAAGACACCAAAAACCGGCTGGGAGCACCCAAAATACCCCGAAATCCAGGTTGGAACAGTGAAAATACACCAAAAATACCCCAAAATCTGGGTCAGAACAGCTGAAAATATGCTGAAAATACCACAAAAACCGGCTGGGAACACCAAAAATACACCAAAATCTGTCTGGGAACACCCAAACTACCCCAAAATGTGGCTTTGAACAGCTGAAATACACTGAAAATACACCAAAATCTGGGTCAGAGCAGCTGAAAATACACCAAAAACCGGCTGGGTACACCAAAAGTACCCCAAAATCTGGGTTGGAACAACGAAAATACACCAAAACCCAGCTGGGACACCGAAAATACACCAAGATCTGGGTCAGAACAGCTGAAAATACACCAAAAATACCGCAAAATCCTGCTGGGAACACCCAAAATAACCCGAAATCCAGGTGAGAACAACGAAAATACACCTAAAATACCCCAAAATCCAGCTCAGAACCGCTGAAATGCACCAAAAATACAGCAAGAAACGGCTGGGAACACTCAAAATACCCCAAAATCCGGATCGGAACAACGAAAATTCACCAAAAACACCTGAAAAATCAGCTGGG